AGAGGCAACCTCTGAAAACATAGAGTTCCTGAAGAAAAACCACATGTAAGGGTTTATGAAAATTACTAATTTGACCGTTGCTCTCTCTTGTCTCTCTCAGATTGATCTCTTCAAGAAGGCAGGATGGACCGTCGTTCACCCACCGCTGCCACTCATCCCGGACAGTAGGTTTTTTTTGTTTCCTTTCTGTTTTATGTATTTTGTTTAAAATATTTTGACCCCGCCTTTCTCCTTGAAAAAGACCCAAGACGGCTGACCTCCTTGACAGGCAATATTTAAAGCTAAAATCAAGGAGTATAAAGAGGCAGCTCCCCACGTTCAAAGATGATATTAAAGCTAAAACAATAAGTATGCAAATACTAAAAAGGGTCAAACAAACGCCACTCTGAGAGATGGTACTGTAAACACAAGTGGTCCTGAAGACGCAGTCCGTTTTGAAGACAAGCTTGGTGAAATGCGGGGTTTTATTGTTTCCTGTGGGTCATCCTGAGTGCAATATGCTCTGTATTGGTCGGATCTAGCCCACCCACTCTGGATGTCGTCTAAATGGTTGTCCATGAACGTCCTGATGCTGGATGAGAAACGGGTGATGGTGGACGCCAACGAAACTCCAATCCAGAAGCTGTTCGAAAGTCTAGGTAGGATAAACTTCAAGGATACTCTGGAGAAAAAGTGCCAAAGGCAACGGGTAGGGACCTAATCCCATGGAGAGCCTCCGGTCAAGCATGTAGCTCTTCTATCCCACACGGAGGCCCCACAAGGCCACTGTTCTTAGTAGCACTAGGAAGACCAGGGCTTTGTAGGGTAAGGAGGGGGAAAACCTCACCCCAATATTTTGAGATGAGAAGGCACCTGGTCTCCTCTGAGCCACTCCAACGAGTGTTCTTTGCCTAATCCTGTGAGAGATACTGACAAGCTCAAGGGGTTTATTATTTGGATCCAAGACTCCTAGATGAGGGTTGGGGGATATCAGTCCATCTAGATCCATAGTTCCCAGTCTTGTTCTTGGACTGCAACTCCCAGAATTCCTGGCCAGCACAGCTAGCATTGAAGGGTTTCTGAGAGTTGCAGTTCAAGAGCACCTGGGTTACCCAAGGTTGGGAACCCTACCCTAGATGTTGTTGCATGGTGGCTCCATCAAGTCTATCCAGCATAGCCATTGGCAAAGGATGATGGGATTTGCAGTCCAAGAAGATCTGGAAGTTTCTCTTTGTCCTCCTTTGTCTAACAAAAATGTCTCCCTCTGCTTTGGCCCTGCAGGCATTTCATGGAAGTTTCTCTTTGTCCTCCTTTGTCTAGCAATGGCTTTAAAAATGTTTCTCTGTGCTTTGACCTGGCAGGCATTTCGACCATCAAGGTCAACATCCGTCATGCCAATTCCTTAGGAGGGGGCTTCCACTGCTGGACGTGTGACATCCGCCGCCGAGGCACCCTGAAATCTTACTTCGATTAAATCAGAGGGGCTGGTTTCCACCTCCGTGTGGCCCAGTTTGCATGTCATGTAGATATCGGTTCACCACCATCACGGAGAGGTTCTGCTTAAAAGGGAATGGGACTGCATGGGCTGTAGTGAGTGGAACAAGGCTCCCTTTCCACACCCTCTAAAGTCCCTCCCAAGAGCCTTCTCACATGTGTCGCCACAGAGCGTGCGATCGGCGGGGAGCTGTGGCTGACCACGGTTTCCCAGATGAGTGCACCTGGATGAGGAGTGCGTTTTCTTGGGTTGCAACCACATAAGAAAGAAAGAAATAACAGCCCCACCTCAGAGGCTGCTCCTTGGCTTCCCTGCCCTGCTTCCTCCAGGCGCTTCCTCCCGAGTAGAGAAGGCAGGCCTGGGAACCCCCAAACACCCGTTGGGCTGGAAAACAAACTAGCATGAACCAGCAATTCATGCCCATATCTCGTGGTAACCATTGTTCACTGCATCCTATGCAAAATTATTCAGAAGCACATATTTATTCAATGTGTTTTGCTCTCAGGGAAGCATCCATAGGAGAGGCAGCAGCCTTAATCTCAAAATCCATTCGTCTTTAAATGCTCTTTTTAAATCAGCGGTCGACTTCCATAAAAAGGTTCTCATGCTGGGAATATTTTACCAGGTGGATCCAGATGAAGGGTGTGAACAGACAGCAAAAAAAGGATCCTTGTCTGATTGCACCAGAAAGGGCTGCTTTAATGGGAGTGACATGCAGGCAGGGCGCTCGGTTTCATCCAGTTCTCTGCAAACGTACCCCACTCCATAAGCATCTTACTGTACCTGTCCATCACTCCTGCCTAGTCCCCAAAGTCGTAGCTCTACAGCTGGACCAAACAGGCCCAGTTTGAGCATGGACTGAGGCTGGGCTGGAGGATGATGGCCTCTTATGTCTTGTGATCGCCAGGAAATAGCTTGTACCCAACAAGCAGTCCAAAAGATGAGCGACAGGCCTGTAGGACCACACCCTAAATTTCCACTGAAATTAATGGGGTTTAAGTCCTAATCACTTCATCTGGAAGAAGAGGAAGCTCATAGACAGAGTCATGGAGCACCATACCCTGAAATTTAGCCTATGTCTGGGCGAGAGCGTTTAAATACTGTATTTGGATGACATACACGTGCCAGAACCCTTCATCACTAAGCAGCCTAACCTGTGTGGTTGGGTCATGCAGGTGAGCTTCAGGATTCCAGCCGTTGGCCTCTCTGGAAGAGAGATTTCCAAAATCTGGTCCATTCCCTTTCTGTATGGGTTTTGCAACCTTAAAACACCCCAGGTGTACCTCTGAACGGCGTCATGTGCGAAAGGGCTCTTAGCTAAATTTGTCCAAAGTTGCAACTCGGTCATCAGCAGTAAGCACAGGTCTTGTGGGTGGCTGGCTGGCTTTTTGAAAAGACTTCCTTCACATCTGGAAACCCTTTTATTTACCTTCCTTCTCAGGACGTACGAAACTTGACGCTTCTCCCTGGGGCTCCTCAAGAGTTCCACGGCGGGTAACATTACACGTCTACCTCTGTATGAAATTCTATCAAAAAGGCAGCTAGAAACATGAGACCTGAGTTTACATCTACCCTTTCTTTCCACTTGGTAATTTGTGTTTGTGTTTATGTTGTTGGATGTATACACCGCACCTCTTAAATTTTCAGAGCATGACTTAGAAGGCATAAATCTTACATGGACCCAATTTTTTTTTTTAAAAAAACTAATTTTATCTTTAAGTCTATTGAAATGAGCTTGCTCTCCCCTGCCCCCCAAAAGTTGCATTGTGCCTTATGTAGATTTTGGCAGTAACTAAGCAAGGATGGAGACATTTGGGGACTACAGCATCCATCATCCCTAACTCAAAGCCATATTGGCTGGGGTTGATGGGAATTTTACTTCAACAGCATGTGGAAGGCTGATTTTCTCCCTGGTGATTTCGATTTGAACAAGATTTAGACTTAGCAGCACCTCTTCCAAGGGAGAAGGCCCTTAAAAGGATGGTTAGAATGGAGGACTCTATCCTTCCTGCTAAAGGACAAGTGGCCACTCTGCCCCTGATCTAGGAGGCATTCCTCTCGCCTATATACAGTGTCACATGCATAAGATATTTTAGAGAGGAGGGGTGTATGTAGCCCCACACCAGGCTGAAATGGTGGCTTGCAGGAATGGCCTGGATCTCACACCATGACATGGGACCTTTTCCTCATTTTCTCATTAGGAAAAAGTGCCATCCCATCCTTTTCCCGGAGAACATTCTATACCTCAACTGGGAGGGGAAAAATGATCTGTATTAGGACTGTTTGAGAGCAAGAGAGGGAGGGAGGGAGAAAAATCCATGCATATTCAGAGTTCTAAACATATTTGAGAAATGGCATGTGGCCATATTAAGCACCCTTACCTTATTAATGTAAGGCTCACATTAATATTTGAAATCCCCAAATGTCTCCATTTAGCCACCTTGTTCCCCCAGCTTTTGGCTAAATTGCTCTAGTTTGACTAGTACTTTTTCTAAAAAAGCAGTTCTACCTTAACCCTACGCTTTCCTGACCACTGAATATTTGATACATATATATCTTTTGCTTTTTCTTTTACTATTTTTCTCTTTTGCGTGCGAATACATTTCATGAACTTGTTTACATAAACTAAGGTGTCTTTATTATTAATAATAATACTTAGCAAAAAAAAATACAAATAAAGGAGATCTCAGAATACCCGCTGGTGCTGTAAGCTAATTTTTTTTAAAAAAATATTGATTTCCTCGATATGTATTTTTTAAAATGCGAATAAAACACATTTGCTTTTGTGAAGTTTTGGTGCTGCTCAATTTGTGTATCAGGGACACTTTGTTGATATTCTGAGTCTGACATCCAACTTTTTTTTGGCTTCCAGCTGGATTGCCTTTACCACCTCTTACTGTAGTCCAGTGGCTGAGAAGATGGAAAGACTTTAATTTCCTGTTCATGTGAATGAATGGGGTGGTGAAGCCGTAGGAATACTGGATCATTCCACGAGGGGGCAGTATAGTAACACTGATCGGTCTTCATCCCATCATTAAGGAGGTTTTTCCATTGGTTTTTTTCCCTTTCGTTATGTTCCTTAATTTGCGTTCGTCTTGAAACATGAATCGAATAATGCAAACAGGTTGCATGCATGAGAGAGGGGGAACTACACAATGTCCAGAAACAGCACACTCAAAATTGCTTTTCAAGATGCACAAGGAACTGTGTAATATGTAAATTATGCTTTGGCTCCTTCCTGTAAGGGGACGTAGGTGAGTCAATGTCTTCCCATTTTTGTGCTGCACAAGGAACTGTGTAATATGTAAATTAGGCTTTGCTCCTTCCTGTAAGGGGACGTACGTGAGTCAATTTCTTCCCATTTTTGTTTGAGTTAAATTAGGCTGAGAGGTGGTGAGCAGCTCAAGGCCCTGTCGGGGTTGGAACCCTGGCCTCCTTGAGCGAGCGTCTCACCGCTCCACACAAATACGCCCCAAAGACCTGGGACCCTCCTGTTGTCTCTAGGACCTTCCCTGCCGAAGTGGCCCTTTTATCCACAGTCACTGAAGCAATGCTTGTACTACAAGCCGGTGCCTCTTATAAGAAGTGATCCTCCAACTGTGGAACCTTATTCCCCATAAAATGTGTCAGGTGCCACAAAACTCTCTGCTGTTTCTGTTGCATCAGACAAAAAAGCACGACTCCCTAAGAAACCTCCTCGTGTTGACAACAAAGGATGTTCCCATGGGGAATTCCTTCATCCTGTAAATCTTTCCTAAGATGTATGGATTGATATGGGTGTGTACGAATGTGTGCGAGAGGCGCACAGCACTTTTTATGTGCTTTCCCACACTAGCCCTGGATCTCTGCCTTGAAGCTTATCTTGAGGGGACTATTCAAATCTCGCTTTGCTGTTTGCTCCTGGCATTAACGTTGCAGATCAACCTGTTCTTATAAATCGGTTTGCATGCTCCTGGGGACAAGATGCTCCTGAGGGGAGATAACAACAAGTAAACTTTGAAGGAAGGGGGTCTGTATCAATCTCAAAGCAAGGCCTTGGAGAAAATGCATTGGACAAAAATTCACCTCAGGGAAGAGTGTAATAGAAGACAGTAATGCTGGGAAAAAACGGGCCAGAGGAAAAGAGGAAAACCAAATACAAAGTGGATTGGCTTAATAGAAGAATCCGCAGCCTGGATTTTGCAAGAGAGGAGCAAGGCTGTTAACGACTGGACATTCCAGAGGTCACTCACTCATAGGTCACCATAAGTCGGAGGCCACTTGACAGCAGCAACTGCAGAGCATTTGCAAGAGCGTTTTAATCGATTTGTTTATTGAATGTTTACCCTGCCTTTCCACCCCACATAGCAGCCAAGGCAGCTAACAACCAAATCCAAATTTAAAAATACCCAAATATAATAAAAAGGCACACAGAGAAAACACCCTTAACGCACAGCGAGTAAAAGAAAAGAGTGTGTGTGCCAGGAGAAAGAGTTTGCTTCCTCTCTGCGTGTTGTATCTGCAGTCGGGCGCTCTGCTTAAATGTTAAATGGCAGTTTGCATGCAGTCACACACTTAACTGTCATGTCCAGCTGACTTCCAGGACCTCCTGATTTTTAATGCTTAAGGATTGAATCAACAGCAACACTCAATGGGAACGGCGTGGAAGGATCATTGCCTGAAAGTCTTGTCCACCTGGAATGAATCAGTATAAGTCAGTTTGACTTAGGGTGACCATTTTCAGGGTTTTCTAGGTACACGGAAGTGGTTTACCAGCATTTTCTCTGGGGTGCTTTGGGACGGTGCAGCTTGCCCACGGCCACACAGGCTAGCTCATCTCGTACGAGGAGGCACGATGGGGGAATCGAACTCCCAACCTCTGGCTCCGCAGCCAGAGACCTAAACCACTGAGCTATTCAACTTACATCTACATTCACTACTTGACATTCATCAAAGACCACTGCCCCCATCAAGAGACATCCCACGCAAGGCTGAGCAAGGAAGGTTGTGGTCTGATGCTCAGATTCCCACAGGAACCCTTCCCTGGTCAAGTTACCAGGCTTCTGGCTGACGTCTCGAGGGAACTGCCCTGTTTCTCCAGGCCACTTGGCAGGCACTAGGATCTCAAGAGGAAGGGTGCAGGAGGAGGAGAATGTTTGATTTTTGTGACAGAGGCTTTTAGGTTCGGGTGCTCATTCCCAGGCTGTGGCATGCCTCACTAACAGAAAGCCAAAGTGCTTGCTTGTGTGTTGTGCTTGCTCCCTTCCCAACTCTTGCCTGCCTTGCCTCTGTGACATCACAAGGCCCCTCCCCTTGTGAGATTCTTGAGGAACGAGAGGCTCCAGAATCAGCTGTTCTCTTCCTGTTATTTTAACAGGCATGGCATGAGTTTCTAAGTGCCTGCTGCCCTTTGCAATTGCACCCCAAGGGATCTGCAGCAACCCTCATACTAGCAGTGGCTCCGACTCTATTCTAAAGTACTCATTTGTATGTGTGACCAGAGTGGGATGGCCATCTGAGACTGAAAGATGGCCTTTTGATGTCACCTCAAATGCTATACTTGAGGTGCTAGTAAACAAAGTGCAAGTAACTCAAGAGATATGTCTATAAACTGCAGATTTTCACTGCAGGGAAAACTCACAAGCCTCTCCAGAAGCAAGAAAAGTGGAAATAACCAGCATGGCTCTGCTTTTGATCCATCTCAAAGGGTCAAAACCCAGCAACCAAGCCAACTTTTCTGCTGTTGAGGATAGTGGCAAGTGTGCCCAACGACACCCTTCCACTCTGGTTCGTCGCCAACTGCTGCTGAAAGACAGAGTGGATGTAGGAGGTAGTAGCCACCATTTCTTCTCATCAGCCATTGGTAGCTCGGTCAGTCTGCTAAGAATCCATCACGTCTAAATAATGGCAACTCTTGCTAAGTTCCGCTGAATTATGTGCTGTGCAGAAAGTAGTACTTTGTTTTATGGCTGTTTTGCTGCTTTGGATAACCCCAGGAGAAGGGGGAAGTTCTCTCTCAATGCATTCTTCATGTCATGCATAATTTTTAATCCTCCCTCTAAATCATCCTCCCACCTCTTACTCACCATTCTTTCAGACTCACAGAGGGTCTAAGCTGCGCCCGTCTTATTTCTGCAGGCCAAGCTGCAGAGAAAAACTGAGCGCAAGTCCAATAATACTGGCAGTCGTGGCGTAGCTTCCTCACCTTGCAGAAAAAAAAGGAAAAACCTACAAAAAAATAACACATGGCGCTGGGGCGGGGGGGGGAAGGATGTGTCTTCTGAAATCTCAGTTTCCTGTGTGGAACGATTAAAACCTTAGCCACAGCCTTTAGAGATAGTGAGTAACAGCCATTAACTGGTCTCAAGATACATTTGTTGTCTGGCTTTCTACACAGCCTGGGAACATGAGGACAATTCCCACACCCCGAATCCTGCCCCCCCCTCCCAGTCACTATGGCCTTGAGCGATGCTGCCTATGGGGGATTCTGGTTACCTGCAACCCCTCAAAATTTACTTTTCGGAGCTTCTGCTTTTCAAAACTCCTCCAAAGCCCCAGTCCCTATGGGAGCCTCGCTCAGACAAAGCAAGAGTTCAGCGCAAGGCCGTACGACAGCCAGGTAGGCTCGTTGGACTAATTTTGTTCCATGGAGAGGAAAGGTTGCGAATTGATTTATAAAGCCAGCTGCTAGCACTGCGGTTGACCTTGAAAAAG